TGGGTTGCAGAGGTGGAAGAGGATGTGTATCGTTACTGAAGTTGGATCAGCTGTAACAGGGTTGTCTAGAATTTGTTTTGCTAACCCTCCCATCCGAAGTTGTTCAGAGATTGGGGTTGACCAACATTTTCAAGAGAATTCTGCAACTAACTGAACTTGTACTTCCTCTCTTAGGGAAGAAATGATGGTGTCCCTCTCATAATTGTTAAGTACTGTAGTATGAGACCTGGATATAATAGGAAGACAAGGGAATCTGAGTGGTGTAAGGGATTGACTACATCAGACACCTTTCATTTCATCATTTCAGATCCTCTCAGCAGAGATGGTCTCTTGTGCTAGCACTGCATGGACTGACAGACTCCATAAGACATAATCTACAGAACAGCATGTCCTGCCTGTACCTGTGCCTTTCATCTTCTGTGCTAAAGCTTCCATACTGATTTTGCTCTGAGACCCCACAGGAAGCTGGCATGCACACATCCACATCCCAGAAGTGAGGGGGCAGTTAACACCTCATGGGATAAACCAATGACCAATAGGAGACAGAAACCAGTGGATAAATTCTTCCTACTTCCTTCCTACAGAGAAAGGGACATTAAGAAAGTTTACATAGCTTTGCGGGCATGCAGTCCCATAGATGAACGATGAGTCGCACTCAGCAGTGGCCAGCACAATAACACGTCCTGGTGTGGGCTGTCCTTCCTCCCCTGCTTCACTCTCCCTGTCCCTCACTCTGCCTTGCTGAGACTGTACTTCAGGATTACATGCAACTACGAATACTGAATACTGACTCAGTCTTCTTCTTCCACTGAACAAACACAACCCTCGCAACCAAGCCAGCATGTCCCCTGAAGGAGACTGGAAGGGCAAACTGATAAAAAGGTCAAGTCATCAAAAGAGACACTTCATCAAAAAAAGTCTTGATGGCAAATCAGCAATTAAAAAATGCTCAGCATTATTAGTCATTAGAGAGATATAAATTAAACCACAGTGAGATACAACTATTCACCCACTAGAATGTCAGAAATTAAAAGACTGACCACACCAAGTGTTAGTGAACAGAACTTTCATTCAATACTGGTGAGAATGGAAGATGGAACAACCTTGGAAACCGTTCAGAAGTTCTGCAAAATGTTACGTACACATCTACACACAGACTAGCCATTACACTCCTAGATATGAGCTGAAAGCGTATGTCCATATAAAGACTTGTACATACAGACTTTGCATGAATGTTCATAATATTTCCATTTATAATAGTCAAAAACTGGAAACAACTCAAATGTCCATCAACAGGTGGGTGGACAAGCAAGTTTGGTATATCCATTGTTCAGAAATGCACTATCAATACACACCACATTGTGGATGAATGCTGACATTATTACAACATTACATACCATATGATTCCATTTATATAAAATTCTGGAAAATTTTCTGGGCTTCTTTTCACAGGTGACAAAAAACAGATGGGTAATTGAGAAAGGGCGTGTAAGAGGAACAGATTACAAAGAGACATGAAGAAATTTGGGGAGTATTATAGAAATGTTTGTCATCTTGATTATGGTGATGGTTTCACAGGTGCATGCACATATCATAACCAAATTTTACACTTTTAAATATTTATTATGTGAAATTTATTGTCCATCAATTATACCTCAATAAAACTAATTTTAAAAAATTTATCCCAATTCCATAGAATTATATTTCTGATGATTACATGTTATCACCCCTATAAACAGCCTCTTTGAGGACAGGATAATTTATCAATAAATACTCTTTAACTGACTATAATTAACTCCTGGAGTGACCTTTTCAACACTGAGAGACTTTCCCCTACACAATGAAAGCACAGAAAGTACAGAATAAGCCCACTCAGACTCACTAGGTGTGGCAGACAGACTCAAGGTGGCTCTGTGACCCCCACTCCTGGTATTAACACCCTTGTGTAATCCCCTCCCCTGTGACTTAGTCTATTCAGGCTGCTATAACAAAATACTATGAACTGTGTGGCTTCAATAACAAACATTTATTTCTCAGAGTTCTGGAGGCCACGGAGTCCAAGATCAAAGCACTAGCAGATTCAAGGTCCATTGAGGACCTGCTTCCTGGTTTACAGACGAGACCACCTTCTTGCTGTGTCCTTCTCCATGGTGGAAAGAGGTGAGAGAGCTCTCTGGGGTCTCTTTTCTAAGGGCACTAATCCCATTCATGAGGACTCCATCCTCATGACCTACTTACCTCCCAAACACCCCATCTCCAAATACCGTCACTTTGGGGGTTGGGGTTGCAACATATGAATTTCGGGGTCACAAACATTCAGTCTATAGCAAGAACCTGGAGTGTGGGCATCACTTTGCACTTGCTTCTAGACAATAGAACATGGCACAGGTGACAGGGTGTGTGTGATTACGGGTATGACACTGCACACACTGGTCTTGCTGGAGTTTTTGGCTTCCTTGCTGGTTTGAGGAATGAAGCAGCCTTGTTGGGGAGCACACATGACAGGGCACTGTGGGTGGCCTCCAGCTTCCTATCAGCAAGAAGCTACAGCCCTCAGGTCTATAACCTCAAGAAAACTTAATCTGCCAAAAAGCATGTGAGCCTAAGAGCAAACCTTTCCCCAGCTGAGCCTTCAGATGAGAATCGAGCCCTGACTGACACCTTGACTGTGGCCTTGCAAAATGCCCAGCTAAGCTATGAACAGAATCCTGACCCACAGAAACTTTATGTTGTTTTAAGCCATTATATTTGTGGTAATGTTGTTATACAGCAATAGAAATAACTAATACAGTAAGTCCACATACTCATGAGAGTAAGAGAAGGAAAGAAGCAGAGTAGAAAAATGGGAAATACATTGGAAATTCCAACAGTATTTTCCACATCCAAACACAGTGATTTTAACTATTATGAATTGTAAGATAAAAATAATCAGAGTTACAGGAAATCATATTACGCCTTTCAGCTTCTCTTTGGCTGAAAGAAAAAGTGAAGAAACGTATTTAAATAGCTTACTTTAAGGCATGGCATACATAAGCTGTAACAAATCTTGTAAAATAAATGCAAAAGGAAACAACTGGTTTAATAGCCTTTAATTTCCTTTTGTGGTATGTTTTGATCTGCTTTTCATTAATGAGCACGTTACCATTTTAGAATTGTAACTAACATTCACTGAAATGCATACAGAACCTTCTAATCACCCTCACCGACCACCTCTCTGGGAGAAATAAGAGCATGCTGCAGGTGAGCCTACTCCACTGATTTTTCCTCAATGAGTCCACAGAGAAAAATGGCATTCAATTATACCACCTTCAGGCACCCTGAAATACCAAAATCCGTTAGCTATTTCTGTTGGAGATGCAGAAATGTACGTATTCTCCCATATCTTTTTTAAAAACTGTTTACCAATATCATTATACCTCTCTTCCAGTCCCCAATAATCATTCTGATAGGGCTTCTGGGAGGCGCAGGAGCAGCTGGGTTTTGCATAGTTCTTTCAGTTTCCTGTGAATATAACTTCCACACCTTGAAAAGTTCTTCAAAACTAGCCTAGGCAAATCATCACCCTCGCAAGTTCATCGATATATTGTGAGAATAAATAATTGGTATAGCATGGGCAATTAATGTGGTCTCTACTCTCTCAGGTGTTTTCACAGTTGTGTGTATGTCTGCATATGTGTGTGTGTGTGTGTGTCTGTGTGTTGTGCATTTTATTTTTTTCTGTAATGTGGCCCTATAAATTAGACTATAAAGGAAGTCATCAGAAATCAGGATGCATTCTCTGAGAAGAATGATGTAATATTCAGTGTTCCTGTTGCTGACCAAGGCACTCAGCATAAAATAAATAATTCTGAGTTGAAATCTGTTATATAAAATCAGATAGAAGAATTAAAATTCTCATAATTGTTCAAATCAGGAAAATAATGTTTAGAATATTTTATCTTTATCTAAACATACAATACTTGGTATATGAAAGCCTCACCATAGCATACATAAAATACATAAAAATAATTTCACACACTGTTTAGGCTGATGTTTGACCTGAAAGTATTATGATAGCTAAAATAAATATTTAAACATTTAACAAAAATTGTTTGCCTTCATAGAATTTAGATAAAACATTAGGGGTACATGGGAGTCAGGCAAGGGGATGAAGGGTGACAGGCAAGTGGTACATGTGGACCACAGCACTGTTTAAAAATTTCAAGAGAAGTTGAAGCTAATCTTCCTTTTTCTTTCAACAAATTTCCTTTTAACAAATTTGGTTGCACATAAAGTGGAACCATTCCCACTATAAACAAAGTAAAGCAAACAAACGCCAAGAGCAATCTAGATATTTGAGGACATCACTAAGATCTTTAAAATAATTTAAGAAAAAAAAAGTCTTTAAGTATGATGCCCATCATTATTTGAATATAGTCTCTCTGTACATAAATAAGCATGTGTTTGTGCCAGAAAGAGCGAGAGAGAGAAGTTAGCTGTGTATGTGAAATAAAAATGAGTTTCAATCAACACACTGTACTTCACAAATATGTACATATAAATGTTAAAATAAAAATAAACGAGTTTCAAAACTGCAGCCCATGGCGAGAGTGTAAGGGGCTGGCAGAAGTCGTCATACTCCTTTGCCATAGCACTGATGGGGAGGTGAGAGGACTGACCACGTGGATGATATGCAGAACTCTCAGATTTTTTGTTTCGGGGCATTGTCCCCTCCTTCTGCAGCCTCCTTATGTCACTGCCCAGCACCTGCAACAGGGATGTCCTCCAGAGAAACAACAGAGGAGAGCTGAAGACCTTCGGGAAGAAGGACGTGACTTGTAAACATCATGTCAATCTCAAAGGATAGGAATAAAAATTCAAGCTTCCTTCACAGTCCAGCCTCTGCCTGGAAGGAAGAGCAGAGCTGAGGGGCCGCGACAGACAAGCATAGCGCCTGTGCAGGATGGCAGAGACCCTCCAGACGGCCAGCCTAGCACCCCTGCTGACCCGGACTCACTTACCCTCTCCTGAAGCCTGATGTTCTCCCACACCTTGCTGCACACCATGCACTCAAATGCATCGATGTAATTATCCTGGTTGATGTCTTGCACTCCCCATTTCCGTTCCTTGAGAGCTTTCAGAAGTCGCTGGTTAGAGATCTCACCCTTCAGCTTCCATTCTATGTAGGCCTCATACAATCTGTCATCATAATCCAGTCGTCTGATGTAACTTGCCAGTTCTCGGGGGTGAGAAAATTCTGACACGAGAATAGCACTTCTGTTACTGGGAAGCCAGTCTGTGATGCTGGGGGATCCGTAATACACAGGAACTACCCCCAGTTTCAGTGGTCTCCAGAGCTTCTCAGTGACGTAGTCATCACAAATTGCGTTCTCAAAAGCAAGGATAAACTTGTACTGTGCAATGATCCTGTAAAAGTCATCAGCGTCCATAGAGGCTGGATTTTTCAGCTGCTGAGGGAGATCTTTGTTTCGTAAACACTCACCATAGGAATCAACCTCGATGTAAGTCATCAGCTCACGAACATAGCTGTCCCTATCTGATGGCGGGTCACAGTCTGACTGTACATACACCAGTGGAGCAAGTCTTTTTCTAAGGTTGTTTTTGGACTGTAAAGGAACTAGGTATTGGAGTGACTTCAGGGCTTCTATTCCCTCCAAGTATTGGGTAGTTAGTGGCAAGTGGGAATGCCTGCTGAATGTGGCGGTGTAGTTGAACAAGGTGATGACCGGCTTATGAAAGAGCCTGTAATTGTTTTTTGGGGACTCTTCATGAAAAAGAGCCCAGTCATGATGGGCTTTCCGAGGCAGAGGTAAGCTATCTATGTTAAAGTCAGTACCTAAGAAAAGAAATAAAATATTAATTAGTAGGCTCTAAAGAATTTCGGTGTCTGAATTTGAGTCCACAAGATTAGAATGCAGAGGCGTCGGAGGCTGCAGCGTGCTACAGTGTCACTGCAAAGTGCCTTGCAGCCAATCATGACGTTTTCACCCCAGAAACTGGTCAGGAAGAGGATCACCACGTAGAGGGAACATCTTTCTCATTTTATAAAAAGGAAGTGGGAGTAGCCTCTGGCCAGGTTCTAAAGAGAATTTATTCCACTGCCTCCTGCAATTGGCTTTTCTCCCCAGAGGTGTTGTCTACAAGAAATAGGGCAGGAGAAATAAAGAGATAAAGATAGACAGTTCTTAAAAAAGAAAAGAGGAAGGGAAAGGAAGCCAAAAAGGGAAAAGAAACTGGTAGATTGATTAATTGAAAAAAAAGTGAAATCATGCAAAAATAGCCAGAAAAAATATACAGGATAGATTTCTTTAATACAAAATGATCGATTTCAACAAAGTGCAGTTAATCAATCTTAGTCAGAATGGTAGACAAGAGGCTTTTAAAGAGGAAAGAGCTGATTGCACTATATTATAGATGGCTGCAGGATGGACACAAATCAACAAGCATATCAAGAAATAAAGAGAAAGCATAACAGAATTATAAGTACAAGGGATTCCAGCTTCCACAGGATTAATTGGAAAACCTTTGAAACATGATAACGTGCAGACAGAAGAGATGGATGTGGTAAGCAAGTGTTTCCTGGCTGTGTGGGTGGAGATCCAACCAGAAAGAACTTATTTCTATAACTGAGAAAGAAGAATTAAGACAATATCTAATACAGAATTTTTGAAGTGTTTGTGACACCAATGATTTTGTGGACTCTGATTTCAGTTTTTAAAAATAAATGAGGAAATTAAGTAAAGAAATGGCCAAAAACAACAACAAAAATATCCATCTTCTAGCATCCACTGGAAAAAACAAAACAAAACAAAACAAAAAACTACCAAATAAATATTTCCAGCAGAATAAAACATATTCTCTGTTAGAGTTCATAAAAATTAATTATTTAACGACAGTGCACACTCTCTCAAATAAATATAAATTCTTTGGTGCCAATAGTACATCAATGAGAAATCAATTAATCAGGAAAGGCTTTTAAACAATTAAAGATCAAATAAGATTATGGCAGAGTACATAGACTAAGCACAGTGAAGTTGCCGAATAAAGTAATTCTTTTGATAACAGGCTTTTATTTTCAATCAGCAGCAATGAATTACTAACATGTAAAAATAGCTATATGCTTGCTTACTTGGGATTTGCTACATTTGACCTTCGGCATCACAAAAAATACTCATCCACACACCTGAAATTTAATGGCAATAGAATCAGATGGTTGGCAAAGGTTAATAACATTAATAAAGAGAATATGAGGACACGAAAGAGAATTTGAGAAGAAAGGAAACATTGCATTGAAGGGTCTAGGATGGTCAAGTGGCCAGTGATGGGAAATGGAACCCACAAAATTGAGGGAGAACATGAGGTTTGCACCTAAGGCATTACAGAGAGTCAAGGCCGTTTACATGGGAGAAAAAGTACCAGAGTCCCATCCACAGGAACCAGAGGCAGGGATCAAAGTTGGTAAATTAGAGACAAAGAGGATATGATTAAAATAAAAGTAGATCCAGAATTAATTGGGGGGGGGGCGGAGATCAGGCACAGGGGTTTTGAGTGAGTGACTCGAATGCCAGTGGCTGTCAGCTGCTAATTGCTAGGAGGCTCATGTGTGGTTCTTAATCTGGTTCACTGTGAGTGCAACACAGCAAAGACCCAAAAGGGAGAGCAGGGAAGCAGAAGGCATGGAGCCACTGCTTCAGAGTGGTGAGGGCCTGGCTTTCCTCTCTGCTCAGTAAAGTGTATGAGTAACCAAAAATGGCTGTGTCTAGACTCTTCTGTGGCCGCTGTGTAGGTCCGCTCACGTTGTGTTGGTAATAGGAATGGAACTTGAATCCTGCACCAGTTATAATGAGCCTATCACTCATGATAACTAGATGCAGGTTTACAGGTTAATTCTACTACCTCCAGCCAAGATGCTATTAGAATCTCAATGTTGAAAGGTAAGGGAGAAAAGGGTGAAGTTCCTCAAACATGCAATCTGCAGGAGCAAAAAAAGCCTGCAGAACGTAAGCAAGAAATATCAATAGTCGTGTATTAAGAAGCAACAAACCCTTTCATAAATGAGAGTGAGAAACTCTCATACATCCATCTTTCTGTTTATTTTGCAGGGGAGAGGCTGTCTTTAATAGTGGGGGCTGCCTCTTTAATAGAGAGAAAGTCAAAGGGACCTAATTCCTCAGAAATATTTCCCATAGTTGCTATTTAAAAAAGCATTTCCTAGTAACTTCCCTGAGATACACACCCAAAACACAACCATACACACACACACACGATTACATTAAAACAGGTCTTCCGTTATATTCTTTCGAACTAAAATTATCTGGGGAAGATTAAAAAACATGTCATTTTGCCTTGTGAGCTTCTCTCCTAAGCCTAGAGCTTCAGATGGTAAACACTCAAGAATAGTGAAATTAGAACCATGACAGACCTAAACTACTTCACTGGGGATATCATGGTCAGAAATATGAGTGTCAATAGTGAGCAATTTATAAAAGGCATTGGATGTGCTCAGGACACAACGGAGGGATTTAGCTCTCCCCAACTCCAGGGCAATGCCTACTATAACAAGAGTTGGAACTGGGGTCTTTAAAGAAATGAAAACCGATTAACCTATGATAAACCCGTGAAAATGTGACGAACTTGCATGCGACTGGTTGACTAGTTTTATACAGTCATGTTCACTCCCATCTTCATGTCAACTTACATTCAACAACTTTGGATTCAAGCTTTCATTCTTCTGGGTCATTGTGTGTTTACTAAATACTGACACATATACTCGTTCCTTTAAGCAACAGCTGACAAATGCATCTTAGGCACTAAGTGTACCATAGAGGGAACTGCAGCTTGGAATACAAACAGAAGGAAACTACTGCTGCAGGTGATGCCAGATCGCTGGCTGGGGATGGCTTGGGAAGAGCCCAGGAGCAGAGGAGGGGCAGACGCTCTGAGATGGGCTTGGACGCCCCCTCCTCCTGTGGGCCATGGCTCTTCTTTCCAAATCCCACACAAACTGGTGAAAACAGAAGGCAATGTGCATTATTAACCCCACTTTACCAACAAAGTTTGAATCACTTATTCAGAGCTAAAAACCCCAGCTGGGGACCAGAATTTCAGACTGGCTAATTGCAAAGGACCGGAGCGCTCCCTGGCCTCGCTGCAGCGTTGCTTCTGTTGAATGAGCAACTTGCTCCCGGACTCTCCCGCGCCCCCACAGAAATGCTAGCCAGCTGCTCAGGAAGACCACATGCTTTAATCTGGAAAAGAGACGTGCTCCCACAAAATGTGCTGCAAAGGTAAAGCTCTGCTTTAAAAAAAAAAAAAAAGAATCTCTACCATATAACTGTGTGTCCTATAAAATGTGCCACCAAAAATACCCCAACAGAGAGAATTAAAACTTTCAAGGAAAAACGAATTAGGCCAAAGGGTGGCCTCCTATATTATCATCTAGTATCTGCATAGTTCATTGCTATTTTTAAAGCCTTTAAACAAGAATTTTCTTGACGTATCCACACAACTCCACCAGGTCATTTATTTTCTCCAAACTTCTGAGGGGTAACTAAAATGTGAAAGAATAGTGCTGGTAACTGGAAAGGCTAAATTCTGAACAAAGGAATGAGCCACACAGGCACCTCTGCAGATGTCGTGGCTCAAGCCGGTTCAGAGGGACTCTGACAAGTCACTTGACCCAAAGAGCTTTCCTATTAACTTCTGGAACTAGATTCCTCCCTTTCCTCCCATCATCTCCAAGAGTGCTTTTGCCTGCACCTCGATCTACCCTGTGTCATGCAGCCTCTCTCCGTCATACGTGCTCAGTGAGGTGTGCCCACTGTAGCCCTGGAAATGGAGATTTTTCAAGCCCCCTTATTGTGCCCGCCCGCACTGCAGGCCAGTCAGTAAATTTGCAGTCCCTTTCCTCACACGCTTAGGGCCCAAGGCTAGAGTACAGAAAGAGTCCCAAGTGCCACAGGCCTAAACATTTAAAAGCTATAAACAAACCTAACAAGCTGTTAAGTGTTTTATCCTTCCACCTCCGCATATATACCCTCGTGATAAATATATATGTGTCTTAAGCAAGAGTTCACACCAAATTGTAGATAACACATATTAAAAATTAACATCATTTTCTGCAAAGATGACAGTTCTCTCTTTAGGGCCAGGCACGGGGTGAAAAGACGCGAACTGAGAGGATTCTCCCTGAGTGCCCAAGCCTTCCCGTCCATTCTCAGGGCCACTGCAGGGGACAGGCATTTTCACTTCATCTTTGCAAGGTTCCTTCATGCCTTGTTCGGGGTCATGCCCCCCCGACCCCACCATGCAGAGGCCTCCTGAAGCACCTGAAGACAAGCTCTGCCCTCGTCCACACTAGCATCAGCCTCTCAAATTCCTCAAAGGAACATGTGGCTAGAAGGCCAGGTACAAATTCAGAACTCTCAGATCCCTCTGAGTTCTCAGCCAGAACGTGGTGGTGACTGGCCCCCTCTCCTGTGCCTTGCACTGCCCACACTGTGGGGATCCTCTGTCTATGGATATGGACACCCCAACCTGCAAATCCAAGCTCCATCCCAGCAAGACTCCCTTCTTCACCAAAATTTAGTCAGACTCCTCCAAGCCTCCTTCTCGCCTAGGACTTGACATTGGCCTGCTGAGCCCAGTTTTAGCAAAGAACGCTGCTATACCAGTTTAGCAAGAATCCCCACCCTGGATATAAGATCAAATTCTTCATCTCCTACACTTGATATCTAAGTCCTTGGCCTGCCTTTAGCAAGAATCCCCCTACCCTTGATATCCTCTTGGTAATTTTCCATCCACTCACCCCCCTCACTCTGCTGGTTGACTTATAAG